CAGGGAGCCCGATGCGGGACTCGATCTGGGGACTCCAGGATCATGACCTGAGCCGAAGGCAGTCGCTTAACCAACTGAGCCACCCAGGCGCCCCGAATCACAGTGTTTTAAGTAAGAAAACAGTAGAAAAAAAAAATCTTGCTAGAAGGCCTTCCACAGGAAAGACATATCCATAAAAATCCAGAGAGAGCTCTAACCAGTAACAGAACCACTCAGCATTTGTGATGGTGGGAGGGAGGCAGGAGGCAGGGGACAAGAAGAAAATGTTCTCAAGTCCAAGAACTCTGAGCCCACCTACTCCCACATAGAGCGTTTCTCTCCCTCAGGATCAGAGTACCTTCTGTGATGGGGATCTCCCATGGAGTCATATTCTGAGGGACCAGCTCATCAAAGAAGGATGAGGAGGCAGAGGCTTCCTCTGTGATGTGTTCGGAGGTCTGTACAAGAAAGGACAGAGGTGGCTATTTTGGAAATGAACCTGAAAACAGATAGACAGCTGGCTTGGTAGCTCTCTCTGAGAGCTCTACTATCTGGCCCTTAATGGGTAAAGCTACAGAATAACCAGATAAGGTTTGGGAAGGTCTCTAGTCCATAGCTCCTCTCCCAGCCCAAAAGTTTATGCACTCTGTGTCTCACTGTGGTTCCAAGAAATGAGGAGTTTGAAGACTTCTACAGAAGCCAAGCACTTTATGAGAGCAAAGCAAATGTCCAGGAAGGGGCAGATGCCCTAAAGGCAGGTCTCCTGTGCTACCCCAGGTCTGGCTGTCTGGGCTCCAACCACACCTGGCTGCAGAAAGCCTGCTGTCTGTTACTGTGGAGATCATCTCCCTTGGGCCTCCCTTGAGGGGTCTCGCCCAGCCCCAAGTCACTCTTCAAACCCGCGGCCACCTGCAAGGAGAGATCTATGAGTACCCTCTTCCCAGCACAAGGTCAAACACCTATTATGCTTTCTTCCCACCTCCACACCACACAGACTGGACTCTCTGAGATTCTTGGGCTATTTACCTGGGGAAAAGCCTACATCCAGGAGGTAAAAGGTTTGTATATGCGTTAATGAAGCCCAGAAAGAGGTCACTGAGACGGTTCCCACTGACAGCATTCTCTTCTTCTCTGCTTCAAGTACATGCTTCTGATGTGAAAGCAGCTTACCTTCTTCTGGAACTCATCTTTACTGTATCCTAATAGTTTTAGAAATTTCATTCTGGAGTCTTCCTCTAAGGTCACCTAATGAACCACACAACACACAAGTCTCCATTAAATCAATGTGAATGACCCTCTCTTGCATAAGCTGAACATCTGTGCCAGTGTACCCTCTAACATAGTTCTTCATACCACCAGAAGTGCCCTACTGAGGCCAACACCGTCTCTCCCCTTTTCCTCCCCCAATTTGATCCTGCTGAGCTGGAGGCATGGTGTTAACAAAACCCTCTCCCACTTCTACATGAAAACTGGACCATGGACCTTCTGTTGACTTACTAGATCTGTTAGCCTGGATACCTGGTAAGAGTCAAATGTCACCTATGTTTCCAGGCAACATTGCTTGTGATGGATAAACTGTATCTGGACTCGAACTATACAAAACTTAAATAGCATCTGTGGACACCATGCTCGCAGGCTTCCCTGATTGCAAGGACTCTTGTAACTGAAAAGATCTCTTGTAGGGACTCTAGAAACATTTTTGAAGTGGGTACAAGAGACATTGGCTCTTGTGGGCATGAGGCTTCAAAGCCGGGGCCACCGACACACCTGCCTTGTGTGCATCTCATCACCTTGCACCTGAGCTGTCTTTTGGGGAGGTGATGAGAACTCTGGACTGCTGCATGGGCTGCTGCAAGAACCCCCACAGAAGAGCGCCACCTCCGGCTGCCCTGCCAAGCCGTGGTTCCTGTCCCACATCCTTCTGAGGAGACTGATGCCAAGTGAACCTACAGAGTCTCGTGAGTCTAAAATATCTAGTTGAAGGGGCGCCTGGGTGGCTCAGTCGGTTAAGCATCTGTCTTCGGCTCAGGTCATGATCCCAGGATCCTCGGATCGAGCCCCACATCGGGCTCCCTGCTCAGTGGGGAGTCTGCTTCTCCCTCTCCCTCTGCCTGCCTGTCTGCCTACTTGTGATCTCTCTCTCTGTCAAATAAATAAATAAAATCTTAAAAAAAAAATATCTACTTGAAAACATAGTTCGTGGTGGAAGCTGCATAGATACAATAAACAAAGTCAGCTTAGGGGCGCCTGGGTGGCTCAGTCGGTTAAGCGTCTGCCTTCGGCTCAGGTCATGATCCCAGGGTCCTGGGATCTAGCCCCACATTGGGCTCTGTGCTCAGCAGGGCGCCTGCTTCTCCCTCTACCTCTACCTGCCTGCCTGTCTGCCTACTTGTGATCTCTCTCTCTCTGTCAAATAAATAAATAAAATCTTTTAAAAAAAAAAACAAAACAAAACATAAAGTCAGCTTACCCACTCAGTGTCCCAGATACTGGGGGCCAAGCCTTCCTGAAGCCGTACCTTAATCTGGGTTAGGTGGCTGGGCCCTTCGTTTGCCCTACACAGAGCCATGAATTCTGACTACTATCTTTCTCACAGTCTCTCAGGGCTCCCTTCTTCTCCCATACTTGTCCTTTGGAAATGTTCAGCCACATTCAGCTTCAGAACCATCATAATGGACAGCTCTTGGGTAGGTTTTCAACCGGACTCCCCTCTATCCTTAGGTACTGCTGCCTCCTTTGTTTAGAAGAAAGGCTCAACTCCTGATGATGCCCTCTATTCTCTTTCCCATTCCACCATTCCTGGAGCAGTTGGCCGTATTCTGCTTACAACAAAAGCATCATTTCTTATTCTTTTCTTCCCACACCTTTTTCTAGCTTCACTCTACAGTTGATGATCCTTCTCAAATCCTGTCTCCTTCCCAGATTCCTGGTGTCTACCATCACAAAGTTCTACTGTGTCTGAAGTATAGACCCCAAGCCCTTCTTAGATCCCCTGGGACAGCTCTGTCCTTTTTGCATTATTTACTATGATCCCAAAGCTTTGAATAATCCTCTCACTGCCTGTCCAGTCAGTTCTCTTTCTCCCTTTAGTTCTCTCCTCCCATCTACTCAATTCCTTTGACAGGTGGAACACTCCTCCTGATGTCATGCACAACTTGAAATTTCATTAGCACTGAACTTGATCCATGCCTCCAGAGTAAACTGGGACTTAAGCCCTGAGTCCCACCATAATAACTTGCCTTGGGTTACCTGAAACAAACTCAAAGCCTTCTCATGATGATGCCCCCTTCCAGCCAATCCTCTTTCCTTCCTTTCCTTTCTCTTCTCTCTTCCCATCACGTTATCTGCCCTTTGGCATGGCATAAAAGCCTTCACATTGGCCTTGGTAAAGTATCTAGGACATCAGCAATAGAAGCAAAAAAGGCAAATGTCACTTGTACCCCTCAGCTTCCTTAGCTGCAAAAGGTCTCTGAGACACCGGTAAAAGGTGAAGATTCTGTGTCCAGAGGGTGGTGTGGTGTAGGAAAACGCCTAAGAGGTCAGGGCCTCTATAATCTAGGTCACAATGTGGTTGTCCATCTCCTAGAGTTTCTGGCTTTGGGGAAACACTTTCGGAGCAGCCAGCCTCAGGCTTCCTACCTTCAGGAATTGCCAGAGCATCTTTTCACTTTGCAGTGATGTTTGTTCGATCTTGTTCTGACAATAATTCAGAAGATTTCCTGATTCCAGGGCCTCCTGCAGCTCAGCTGACCGCCTCAGTAATTCAGATTCTGTGATGACTTGACTGATGAAGACTAGGCGGAGGCAAGGCTGTGGCATCTGATGGGCAGGGGTGCTGGGGAGGCCAAAGGTAACCAGCTTCCCTCCAAACTGGTGAGGAAAAACAAGAAGGGTTAAGGTTGTATCTTCAAGCTAAAAATTAACACCAAGTCCAAATCACAGGGAAGGCTATTTATTGGTTGACCCTAGGATAGGAAATCAACAATAAGAACTCCTGGGGGTGGAAGAGGATCAGGAAATGAGTAGAAAATGCACCCCTATACATAAACCACCTCTACATTTTTAGCACCATCAGCATAAAACTCTAGCACATGGTACTCATCTTCTGACCCGTGCTGGCAGCCCCATTCTCCCAGTCACCTGGACTAAACGCCTTGGCATCGTCATGGTCTTTATACCCATCACAGCTACAGCCACGGAACAGCAGTCTGACCTCGTCTTGTGCAGTGTCTCTCACACAGGGCCCCCTGTCCCATTCCCAGCGCTAGCACACCTAGGTTATTGGAATAGGCTGCTAGCCTCTGGGTTTTCCTCCAATCCAAGCCTTAGACTACCACCCTGTACCTATGGCTGCTTAGGAGTGTGTTCTGGTTTCAAAAGCCACAGAAGAGAGCTTAAGCTCCTCCAAAGTCAGGGCCAGACTCTCTAGCCTCTCTCTCCCTGCTCATTTATGTGATCGCTCCACATCCCCAAAGTGCCCAGTTCATTCCTGCTTCTGAGCCTTCAACCACCAAAACAGTCCCCCCTGAGCATCCTTCTCACACTATTAGGTACCCTACCTAAAGCATCTGTCACCAAGCAGAGCTTAGTAAAGTTCCTTGACTCCAGCAGGTCTCCACCGTGGCTGCACATTAACACAACCTGAGGAGCTATCCAGAGTCATGAGGCTGCACTCCAGACAATGAAGTCCGAATCTCTGGTGGTGGGACTAGACATCAGTATATTTGAAAGTTCTTCAGGTTGCAGCTATGGTTGACAACTACTGCTTACTCCCCAGCCCTTCACTATTTCCTTTCCTGAGACCTCCTCCTTCATGAACTTGCCCAGTTGGAATTCTTCACTTGATTCCTACAGCACAAACCTACACTACAGATTAGTGCTAAACAAAACAAACTTAATTTTTGATTTGTTAATATTTGATAGTCTTACAAAGTGCTTATGTATATTCTCATTTGAGATTCATGTCAATTCACTAACATAAGCTAAGCAGGTACTACTATCCCTATTTTACAGACAGTCGAACTGCCCAAGGTTACCCAGCTAATAAGTGACAGAGCTATGATAAGAATGCAGGCCTCCCAAACTGAGGGTTCTAGAGGGGAGGGGGATGGGGGGATGGGTTAGCCTGGTGATGGGTATTAAAGAGGGCACGTTCTGCGTGGAGCACTGGGTGTTATACGCAAACAATGAATCATGGAACACTACATCAAAAACGAATGATGTAATATATGGTAATTAACATAACATAATCATAATAAAAAAAAAAGAATGCGGGCCTCAGGCGCCTGGGTGGCTCAGTTGGTTAAGTTTCCGACTTTTTGGTTTCAGCTTAGGTCGTGATCTCAGGATAATGGGATCGAGCTCCGTATTGGGCTGCTCGGCGAGAAGTCTCCTTGAGATTCTCTCTCTCCCTCTCCATCTGCCCCCTCCCCCCACCTGTGCATGGGCACTCTCCCTCTCAAATAAATAAATAAATCTTAAAAAAAAAAAAAAAGAATACAGGCCTCTCCAGACAGACCCATAAATACAAAGAAACTGGTGGTTGCCAGAGGGGAGAGGGGTGGGAGGATGGGCTAAATGAGTGAGGAGGAGTGGGAGGTACAGGCTTCTAGGCATGGAATGAATAAGTCATAGGGATGAGAGGCACAGCGTAGGGAATGTAGTCAATGATACCATCATAGCGCTGTAGCTACACTTGTGGGGAGTACGGCATAACGTACAGACTTGTCAACCACTAAGCTGTACACCTGAAACTACATGTAACATTGTGCATCAACTCTACTTCAATAAAAAAAGGCAGAAAATCAGAGCACCTGGGTGGCTCAGATGGTTAAGCATCTGCCTTCAGCTCAGGTCATGATCTCCAGGTCCTGGGATCAAGCCCCGCGTCGGGCTCCGAGCTCAGTGGGGAATCTGCTTCTCCCTCTCCCTCTGCCTCTCCCCCTGCTTGTGTGCTCTCTCTCTAATGAATAAATAAAATCTTTATTTAAAAAAAGGCAGAAAATAAGTATTGGGGCTGATGTAGAGAAAATGAAACTCTCAGGCATTGTTGTTGGAAATATTGTGAAGCTGCTGTGAAAAATGGTATGGTGATTCCTCAAAAAATTAAAACACAGAACTACCTCCTGAAACAAACAAAGAATGTACTTCTCTCAACATCAGAATTCTTCACCTCCTGAGTATGTTAGATTCACCTCCACAATAAAACTGGTGGCTGTGAACACAAGAACCACTTATTCGATACATCTGTTTTCAATTCAAACCTAATATTTAAAGCACTGAATTAAGTGCTTTAGGACCCTGCCACTCCTCAGACCAGCCACAAGGGCATCACCTGGGAACTTGTTGGAAAATCAGAATCTTGGGCCCTACCCTAGACTGAATGAACCAGAATCTGAATTTTTGTAAGATTCCCCAGGTAATCTGTATGTGCATTAAAGTTTGAGAAGCACTTGCTTTAGGGATAAAAACGGACAAAATGTGGTCCCTATCTTCAAGTCTTCAAGGAGTCTATTACTTAGTAGGGTCTCCACACATGTATTTAAGTAACCTTAGTACAGTTAGAATGTATCATTACAGGAATAGAAATCTTGGAAGTGAAGTTTGACAAGGGTTTAAAGACAGGCATTGTGGACGGGGTGGTACTTAAGCAAGGGACCATGAAAGACTATAGTAGGATTCAATGGCTCAGGAGAGATGTGAAGGGCAGGGTACATGCAGAAGCAGCAAAGTTGAGGAGTTATTTGTGGAACAGAAAGGAGTCATATGTAACTAGAACCTAGGGAACACATAAGAATAAGGTGGGGGGGCGCCTGGGTGGCTCAGTTGTTAGGCATCTGCCTTTGGCTCAGGTCATGGTCCCAGGATCCTGGGGTCGAGCCCCGCATCGGGCTCCCTGCTCTGCAGGAAGCCTGCTTCTCCCTCTCCCACTCCCCCTGCTTGTGTTCCCTCTCACGCTGTGTCTCTCTCTGTCAAATAAATTAAAAAAAAAAAAAAAAAAAAAGAATAAGGTGGGGATAAAAACTGGAAAGGTAAGTCCATAAGGAAATGGGGGTCAAAGGTTTTGGGCAGAGGAGTGACAGGATGGAATTTATATTTTTTTTCTTTCCTGCTTTGTATTTCTAACCCTTACATGTCTGGACTCACTACCAGTCCAGACATGTAAGGGTCAGAGAAAAATCAGGTGGAATCTCAGGCAGTTCTCTATAACCAAGCAGCCTACAGCAACCAATACCTTTTAGACAGGACTGGCACAGTAAGCAAGGTGAAGGGGTAGAGGGAAAAGCAATAGTAACTCTGCTTGAGCCCTAAAATGGGCCTGATCTGAGACACAGGCAGTGGGAATAAATCTATAGAACACAGCTACATGTTGGGCTTACGAGAGGCTTCACAAACACACACACACGCACAACCATGCACACACACTCCCACACACTATACTTACAGCAAATGAAACACCTGCTGGCCTTCTCAACCATTTGGGGGGGTTTTTTAGAGGAGGTATCAATGATGCTTGGGCCCCTTGCTCTGGTACCTGCAGCGGTGGGAGAGGCTGGCCTTTGCTGAAGAAAGAAGAGATCTGAGGGTAAAAGCACACCTGTATCACCAACCTGAAGTGGTGCTGCATCTGTAAACTCTACTCTGGGAGAAATCCTTGAGATAACCAATCTGGCCCAGAAAGGCTGGACTCCCGTTTTCTAGGGAACTGGTAGTGAGGGTAGGACTCCCATGCAGTAGGCTCTTGGAAAGCCTACTGCATCCAAGGTCTACAGTGGAGTGTAGACACAGAATGGATCTACAGGAGAAAAGGAGATAAGACAGTTCATACTTCCAAAATAATGGTCCCGGCATGGAGATCCAATGTCCCTGAAATATCACAGGGAACATCCAAGAGCAAGAGTCAATATGAAGGCCTCTTTTGTATCGTGGCAGGAACGGACACCCTCCCAGGAAGATGGGCACTAGAGCAAAGGTGAAGCCCTCCCAACCCAGGGTCCTGGTTTCCCAGTCTCCAACAGTCCCCACTTCCTCCTAGGCCATTCGTCCTTTTCTCTCCCCCCATATAGAGACAGCATTCCCTCCAGCATTCTCCACCAAGCCTTTCAAACCTTGTCAGCCTGTCTCATCTGCTGGACTTCCCAGCTCCTACCCATCACGGAGTACAATCTTATCCAGCCGTCAAAGGAGGCAGCAGAGAACACTGGAGGGTCCCGAGGGCACCACTGCACATCAAAGCACCAGCTGCTCTGTGTGGGCAGCTTATACACTACCTGTGAGGGAACCCGACCATTAGAGAAACCCTGACTTAGGTAATGTGACCCAGAACACACAGCTGATTTCCCCTCCCAGCATGCCCACGCAACGGCCAGCCTACCTCATTGCTCCCCAGGTTCCAGCACAAGATCTGGTTGTCCTTGGCACTACTGAGCAGAAGCTCAGCATCAGCCTGGCTCCACGACACTGACAAGATCCCCCTAAAAAGGAAAGAGCAACTAACATTTGTCAAATGGCTACTCTGAGTAGGGTACCTCAAATATCTTGGATAAATTTCATCCCTATAAAATGAGCAGTCTCATTTCATTTTACAAACGAGGAAAATGAGGCTTTGAAAAATTAAAGAACCTTCAGCAGTCATGCAGCCCGAACCCAAGTCAAATCCCAGAGCCTGTGCGCTACACACTGTATCACTTTGCCCCCAGACGTCCCCACAGAATGGCCTGCTTCTTTTCCCTGACTGTAGAGTAGGGACTATGAACAGCATGAATCAGGCAAGCACCCACCCCTCTGGGTGCTTTTTTTTTTTCGCAGGAAGGTGGTGAGGACCCAACTCTTCAAAGTCCCCAAGAAGGTATAGAGGCAATACAGCTCTTTAGTAAGAAAGAACAGTGTGGGCTGCTTTTTCTGCTATGGGCCTAAGAGCTACAGCTTCAGGGGCAGGCCTGTTCAAAGGATAGATAGGAGCCTAGGTTCTCTTATTAAGGAGAAGTCTTGGAGGAAGCAACCTCACTACCCAAAGAAATGAACATTATCCTTAAATCAGAGCCTGGGGACTCTCCCAGGGGGACTAAACATTGGCTCCAAATATTTCTCATGACCCCATCTACACTCCCATTTCTGGAAGTTAAATGGAATCTCAGGTTCTTTTCCATAACCTCAGGATCTCAAGGATCTCCTCTTTGTTGGGGTTACAGCTAGGACTGGGAGACTGTGTGTTCACTGGGAATGACTTTGAAGACACGCAAGATGTTTGGTAACTAAAGTGAGGCATTCACTGCCTCCTACCCAGGTCAGTTATGCCCCACCATCCACCAAGGATGTAGACAGAGCTTGAGACATTACCTACTGTGGCTCTCCAGCACCTTCAGGGGCGAGGAGGCAAAGCGCAAATCCCACAGCTGAATCACTGGAAAACGATCATCTTCTGAACACAGCACCAATTGGGTGGCTATGTCTGGGTGCCAGGCCAGGCCTGAGCTGTGCATCTGTGGACAAAGCAGACCTCAATGGGTGATATAACCTGACACTTCTGGTTATGAACCTTTTCTGCCCAGTTGGAATAGGACCTCTGAGGGCAGGTTTTGTGTCTCTTCTATGTGATAAGTGATGACCATGAGTAAGTAAGGAACACTAGTAGCCTCTGGATCAGCTCTGTTTAGCTTCCCTAAGCATTCACTCTCAACAGGAAATCTGCTAAGAGGCTGAACCTACAAGTGCAACAGCTGAAAGCAGACACCTGGCCTGGGGAAGAGCAGCTCCAAAGTCTAGGCATGAGAAAGAAGCCAGAGCCCGAGCCTGTATTCTGTCTCCATGACGCACCCTGTTGCTATGATCGCTGACTTTGATGATAGGTTCATTCTTCCTGAGATCCCACACAACTGCCTTGCCGCTGGGGTGAGCAGAAGACAGAATGTGTTGAACTTGCCGGTTCCAAGCGAGTGCCTTGATGTCTTCTGGAGGCTGCTGAGGCAGGAAGGGTGGGGAGGGATAGAGGATAGAGGACAACCTGTCATCTCCTGGACCAAGAGCCATTTGCTGTTCCACTGCTCCCAATCCCCCACAGAAAGCCCAAGAGTAGACATGGGGCTTCCCAAACCCAGTGTCAGGGAGCTGGGAGTTGAATTTTCCAGAGAGGATCCTTTAGGGGACTGGTGTAGAAGCTGAGAGAATGGCAGGCACACTTGGAATTTACCCCTATCTCAAGGTGCTCCTGAGAGGATGGAGTCAAGATTTAAAACAGCCCTCTTATCTATGACAAAGAGAGAGGTAGAGGAGGAGGAAGGGAGGGAAACAAAGACATGTAAGACCCCCAGAAAGAATGAGGCAGAAAGAAAAGCCATTGCTATTTTTAGGGCACAGGGTGCTATCAAATTTATACTTAACTTACCTCACGATACTGTAAGCACAAGACAGAGAAGAGCCAGGAAGCAAAGAAGATGGGCCCAGTTATAGACTGACAGGTAGATGCACTCAGAGACAGACATACACCAGATCCCCAACTGCATGGGAGAACCTGCTATAGAGGCAAAGCTGACCCACCCCAACAAAAAGGACAAGGATATATCTGGGCGTCCCCTCTTGGCCCCACTCCACTGAGCCCAGGGCCCTACTCTACTCTGCCTAAGCTCTACTATGATAAATAGTACTCACTCCTTTTCTCAATGTCTTTTACTGCCTTTCTTCATCTTCCTTTCAGAAACCCGAGGACAGTTCTTGACCACAAACCACCACACACACACCCTCCCCTCCATCCCTGTTATGGGTTGGCTGGTAATATGTTAGTCTGTGGTGCTTTATTTCCCTCCAGTGGTAAAGTCCAAACTCTCCTGTGCTCTGGGTGCCTCCAGAATTCAAGACTTTCCTGGGCAAATCAGCTGCACACTCTAATCAGCAGCCCCGGGAGACTCCTTACCTGTGACTTAGATCCTGGGGTCCTTGGCACATTTAGGTTATTCAAATCCCAAATAAAGATTTCAGAATCACTGGCTCCCGAGGCCAGGAGGTTGCCCTGCATGAAGAAAAGGCCTTAGGAGACACACCATCCCAGGAAAAGGTACGAACAGGTAAGGGGGAAAGAGACCCACATTTGGGGCTTCCAAAACCTCCCCCATAACAGTGTGGGAAGGGCTAAGAATTATAGACTGGAGGTCACAAGTGAATGCTTCCACTCAGATCTGTGGCTCCATGGCTTGGGCATGTTTGACCAAATGAAATGCAGTACCTGGAAAGGATTAAAGTCAAGGGCTCTGACAGCCCCCGTGTGCTTCTGTCTCTGGGCAATCACAGGCTCCTTCCCGGGAGACAGGATGTGGGCCACACTGTACAGAGTAAGCATGCCATTGTCCCCGCCACCTGCAATGACCCCGGAGCCTTCCAGAAGCCCATCGCCAATGTTCCCCCAGATCAGCTTGTAAAACCTACAAAGAGGAGGAACTGGCATCAGCACCAATGCAGAATCAGGTCAGTAGGCAGAGAGGAGGCATTTCTGTCAGCCTCTGCCATTACGCAGGTATCCCCACCGAGATGGAGTCTGCCTGTCTCCCTCACTTACTAGACACACAACACCGTATTCCTTGCTTGGTCCTGCCCTTTCTCTGGAAAAAAATTCCATCTTTGTTACACTAGGAAGGCAGGAGACCACTGCCTCAGGGTTGTGTGGCATGTTTGTTTTTTTTAATTAACATTATTAGGGTTATATAGGCCCAGGGATACATATTTCAAATAGATTAGTTTACTTAATCTTCACAACTCAAATAACAACAACTAATGCTTATTGGATACTTCCTATGTGCCAGGCACTGTTTTAAGTGCTTCACATGTATTAGCTGATTTAATATTCAATAACCCTATGAAGTATTATTAACTCCATTTTCAATTGAGGAAACTGAGGCACAGAGAATTTATGAAACTTCTGTATACACAGTAACTTTATCCCTATTTGACAGCTAGGAAGTGGCAGAATCAAGGTTTAAAGTCCGGCCCATCTTATTTTATTTATTTTTATTATTATTTTTGTGGCGAGAGAGTGAGAGCAGGGGAGGGACAGAGGGAGAGGGAGAATCTTAAACAGACTCCACACTCAGCATGGAGCCCAACATGGGGCTTGATCTCATGACCCTGAGATCATGACCTGAGCCAAAATCAAGAGTCAGACGCTCAACCCACTGAACCACCCAGGTGCCCTGGCCCACCTTATTTTAGAGCCTGAGCTCTTAACCATCATAAAATAGTGTATTCTGTTTAGAGGAAGATCCAAATTCTTTTGTACCTGACTAGAAGCAGGTTTCCCTACACCAACAATTGCTGTCCCCTCTTCCCTCTCAAGCTGGAAGTAAAAAAGACCCAAGGACCTCTCCACCCTGTGTCTCTTCCCTGTGACTAGCCCACTGGATCTGCTATATGGTTGCAGTGGGCCAGCCCTACAAACATAGAAGCGTAAAGAATGAACATACCTCTTGGAAAACACTTTTGGCTTTCTAATGATGCTTCTCACAAGACACTGCCCGTGTCTTGCACAAAAGAAAAAGATGGACCCTGCGCCCCTGCAGACAAAGATGGGTCCTCTGCAAAGCCCCTAGGGAAGGCATGTGAGATCCCCAAAGCCTCACAGGTAGTCTGTCCTTCATTTCACAGCTGCTAGCCAAGGGTATTTCCACAGCCCTTCAGAGAAGCCAGATTTCACATCAAATGATGTCATAAGATCCCTAACTGAAATGAAATGCTTCCACACCCTGGAAAGTTGGCCAAGAAACTGAGTGGGGTGACCGGGCAGGGACCTATCTGGCCAGTCACTGGTGCAGCAACCACCTGTTAGAAGTAAAGAGCTGAGCACTGGTTGAGACCAGGTCAGCAACTGAGATAAAACAGCAGAGCTGACACAAACAGTGGCTCCAAAGTTACTGTCCAAACGACCATGTGTTCTAAGGTTGCACTGATCTTAACAAGGCAGACAAATGTGCGTTACACTGGCTCAAGAGGCTGCCACGTCCCCCTGGGGCCAGACGTCAGTGCGGGCAGCAGGCAAGTCAACAGAGTAGCTAGAGAAGCCCGGAATCGGTCTCACAGGAACCAAAGGAGAGTACGGCCAGAGAAAAACTCACACAGGGATGGTAGAAGATGTTGCAGTAACCTCAGTATGGTCACAGCTTATGACATCCAGACCGAAGACAAAGGTACCTGAAACCTCAAGGGGGAATCACCAAAGAGTTGGAAAATAAAGCCCTGTTAGTTTAGAGTGACCAAAAGGCAGAACACACAGCGTGACAAAATGACTCTCTCTAAGCATGTAGAAAGTACAGTCCTATGGTTAACGATTTCACTAGTGAGGGTGAAGCAGGAGCCCAAACAGGACATGATAGAGAACACCTGGGAGAGTGGGTGGGACCAGCTGGGACAAGTTAAGCAAGGACCCGGACATGATCATTCAGTGGGCTCAAGGAGTGTCAATCATCTCTGCTCTGCAAATGGACAGGGAATAACACGTGTGTGTGTGTGTGTGCGTGTGTGTGTGTGTGTGCGCGCGTGTGTGTGTACACACGTGCATGTGCATGCAGAGGAAGAGCGCATAAGCATGTAGGCAAATGCAACAAAAAATTAACAACTGATAAATCTAAGGAAAGGTATATGATTATTCACTGTACTATTCTACAACTCCTCTATGTTTGAATAGTTTCAAAATAAAAACTTAAGAAACAAGATGACCTTTGGCTTGAAAATAGGACTTTCAGACATTAGAAGGAAAGAGATTTAAGGAGAAGGTATAGAAAGCGTTTGTATAGAAAAATGGGAACTTTCAAAACATGAGAATACCGATGGAATTCTCTGCTGAAGAGGTTCCCATGGAGATGGCAACAATGGGCACCATAGAGCATCAAGAATGATGGGTGGCACCTAAAGAAAATACAGATTCTTTACACACCTACCTAGACCTTGCAAAGCAGAATTTCCAGAGAGAGGCCCTCAGAATCCACATTTTTAACATAAGCCCCCAGGTGATTCTAACAAGCAACCAGGGTTGAGAACCCCTGTACTAAATACATCAGACTGATACCACCCTAGACCAATAACCAATAAGGGAAGACGTTGAAATTCACAAAGACAGAACCAGCCCCAATGACCAGCTCATGGCTATGCTTCTGGCAGAGAGAAAAAGACAAGGTTAAAGAGAATAAACTGAGGCCTGAGAGATCAGAGGGTCATCCCAGCGAAGCTCAGCTGAGGCCAAGCTTTAGCTACTTTGTAATTAGGAACGTGCGCTGTGTCAATTCTTGCTTCTGTAATTTAGGTACTTCTTTGTTTAGGATTTTGCTTTGATTTGCTTAGTCAGGTTCCTTTTTAAAAACCCCAACCTCATCTTAGCGAACTGAAGTGAAAACAAGCCAAAATAGCTGAGGGAATCCAAGTTTCCTTAAAAGTCAGAGTGGTGAAGGCAGTGCTCCAAGCTGGAGAATGAAGGCAGTGAAGCGGAGCAGTGGCTATTTGAGGAAGTCCTTTCCTTATCCCTAGTAGGCACCAGGCTACTTATGCCTATACATCCCAAATTTACAGCAGAGAAAAACAGAGAGAGAAGTTAAATAACGTGTCCAAGAGGACATTAGATGGCAGTGCTGGGTTCTGAACCCAGGTCTATCCAACAACAAAGCCTACGTTCTCTCTACTCTGTGATTTTTTTTTTTTTAAGATTTTTTTTATTTTGAGAGAGAGAGAGAGCACGAGCCATGGGGAGCGGCAGAGGGAGAGGGAGAAACAGACTCTGTGGGGCTCCACCCCAGAACCCAGAGATCATGACCTGAGCCTAAGGCAGCCACTTAACCAACTGAGCCACCCAGGCACCCCTCTACTCTGTCATCTTGATGTAATCTCTAAAGAAGGCAAACCTTGGAAATGGGAAAACCAAGTACACAAAGTGATCTTTTTCTGCTTGCTGTTCCACACACAGGCACCCAAAGAAGGTCACAGTCCTCCCCAAGTAGCTAGAACTGCTATAAAGGTAATGGAAGGTAGATCACCTTTCTTCATGTTACTAGAGGATGGGTCATACGGAGGTTACAGAGACCACAAAGAGATCAGTGTAGACACAGGATGGAGTACAGTACACCCATCACACATCGGCCTCTGATCTCATTCAGCCACAGCAGCTGAGACCTCAGTTCACAAGTCAACACACATCACGTATTATTCTCCCCAAAACATTTCTTCTTGCATGAGATTCGTCTACCAAACCAAACATCGCCAGCTTCAGCGGGCGTGCTAATCCGAACCGATTCTGATGCATCCAGGGCATTTATCTACTTACAGCCTGAGGCAGTCCCTTGTCTGCACCCTTACCAGTGTTTCAGAGCAGTTCTCTTTTGGTCAGGTATTTCTAAATACGTAACATTTCTCTGATGCATCATGGATTGAGGATAAGGGGGTCTTCAGAATTCAAATGTGGTTAAGCCATGGGTCTGGTGAAAAGGGCAGGCAAAGGAAGGGGAAAGATTTTGAAAAGTATATGTTGAGGTAATAATGAAGAAACACAAGGAAGGTTTCTTAAAAAAAAAAAAAGAAGGGGCACCTGGGTGGTTCAGTCGGTTAAGCGTTCAACTCTTGATTTGGCTCGGGTCATGATCTCAGGGTCCTGAGATTGAGCCCTGAGTCAGTCTCCGTGCTCAGTGGGGAGTCTGTTTCTCTCCTTCTCCCTCTCCCTCTGCCCATCTCCTCTCTTTCTCTCTCTCTCTGATAAATAAATAAATAAACCTTCAGGGAGAAATAAAAGGAAAAAGGAAAGAGATTATGCTATAAAAAAGAAAGGGAAGGAAAGACTGAACATAAGACCTGAATCTAGAGCCCAGTAGGTTCTTAGCAGTCATCTTGCACAACCTCTTCTTTACACATAAGTGAGGAAACTGAAGACCACTGTCAGAATACCATTTGCACAGTCATGTACCGTTAGCCAAGGATGCAACTCAATACAATTGTGCTTTCAACTAAACCATGCCAAAGATGACACAGAAAAAAAAGAGGTAAGCATAAAGCAAAGAATGGGCAGCCCTCTACTACCCTGATCATCTTGGTCAATAGTTTGAGATGTGGATTTCTGAGTAAGTGACTGAACCCAGGCTGAGCCACAAGTGGGTGTCTAAGATAATTTCTTCAACAAGACTCTTAATAGATCTAGGTCAAAGGTAATTCCTTAGGTCTCTGGAAATGCAAATCAAACTTTGGATACAATTATGGAGTTAGAAAAGAAAGTAGAGATGAAATACTATCAATAGTGTTAACTGTACTATTTATTTTGGTTATAGCCCCAATCCTTGCAGGATGGAACAGAGTATGAAATGAAGTTTATGATTCCTGAATTGAGTACCACCAGTTCAAAAAGGATCCCTTCAACCTAGCTGGCTGCAAAACCAACCAATCATCCCCCTTGAAAAGCTCTCAAGCCACTAAGATTAACTGAACAATAACTATAACTAACTGAAATGGTGGCTAGGAGTGCTCACTTTGGTAATCCAGACATTTCTAACGTCACTTGTTCATTTAACGGATATTTATTAAGCATCTAATGCCAAGTACTGTTTTAGGAGCTAGAGATACAGCAGTGAGTAAAACAAACAAAAATCTCCGCCCAGAGGGATCTTAGGATATAATTTCAGATTTCTTTTTTCTAAAAAAGGGTTTTTTTAAGATTTTATTTATTTATTTGACAGAGAGAGAGAGTGCACAAGCAGGGGGAGCTGCAGGCAGAGGGAGAGGGAGAAGCAGGCTCCCCACTGAGCAGGGAGCCCAATGTGGGGCTCCATCCCAGGACCCTGGGATCATGACCTGAGCCGAAGGCAGATGCTTAACTGACTGAGCCACCCAGGTGCCCCCTTTTTAAAAAAAAATTTTTTTTTAAGATTTTATTTATTTATTTGACAGAGAGAGGGAGTGTGCGCATGTGCACACACAAGCAGGGGGCAAGATTTCTTAAGCAATTACATTGCCTCTTGATTAGGAACTCTTTCTCCTAAGGAACCACTACTGTGCTGAAGCTGCTGCTTTGCTGGCTGAGGATAAGAGCCCTTGCCTCCTGCCCCTCTTCTTAACTCCAGGAGTATGAACATTATTGCATTAGCTCACCCCTTTCAGGGGCCCTTTCTGAAATGCTTGCTTAGATGCTAAGAATATTTCATGATTATTGGTAAACCCTCCAGTGGCTGCTCTTCAAAGGGAAAGGTACTGAAAATACAAAGAGATGTAAAAAAACTATAAAATAAGGGATACTATCAGAAAGTGATATAGGGGCTCCAGAAAGGGAGAATAACTAACCTTTATTAGGTTAAACCATGAAAAGAAAAAAAGGGTACTTCTGTCTAAATTAATTAATCTCTCAGATGAACCAAAAAATGCACAAGAGAATGCAAAGTTGCATTTGGACCAGTAACCTCTAAAGTGGGATGGGCAAGATAATTTTCTGAGCTGTAGGAAAAAGACTTATATTTTTAATCTAAAAGTTATAGAATTGCATTTTTAATAGTAGAGTAATGCATGTATACTACTTACATTGCCTATATAACTTGAGTATAGTGAATATTCACATTTTCCCTGGTGGTATGAAAATTTGGAGACCACTGCTGTAAGGCACATCTTTATAAAACCTTTATAAGAGAAAAGTTGAATAATAGAAAAAAGGTAGATTTTGGAGTTAGGCCTAGATATAAATCCTAGCTTCCCAGAGTTTCAGTTTCCTCCTATGTAAAATGGGACTAATGGTATTTATGGCCCAGGCCCATTTTGAGGGATGAATAAGATATACAGAGCTCCTAGCATAGTGTCTGGCCTGTATACATATGCTCTGTGAATGCCAGTACTCAGCCCTGTAAGCCTGCCAGAGCCATGAAATCCACGAGGACCCAATCTGTGCCTAACCACGATGAAGAGAGAGGCTCACTCATTCTCCTCCCACTGGCAGAAAACAAGATATTGTTTAAGGTTATCTTCACAAGAGCCAAGGGAGGAAGGAGCCAACATCTCTGGGCTCAGAGAGAGATCAGGTACTTATGGGTCCAGCTTTGTGTGAGGCGTCTCTATCACATGATTCTGCCTGACACCACTGCTGCTGCTGACCAAAAAGGTACGAGTGGGTGTTTTAAAAAATCCTTTTGCAAAATAAACCCAGGGTTAACTTCTCCCCTCACTTATCTCCTCATGAGCCCTGAGAAGCACACATTACTACCAGGATTCCTGAACAGGGTCTACATCAGGATCTGTCCCGCACACTCATCAACAATTCAGACATAGTACCTGCTTGAGGCAGAAAGGACTCCCTTGTGTTTCAAGTCCAAAGAGGGGTCCCTGAAATCAATCTCAAAGATTTCCAATGTGCCATTTGTGCTAAAGGAGGCATCTAGCTGCTGGGCAGATGTTCCTAGGCACAAGAAAAGTTAGGAAGAGGCAGCATATAAGCAAAAATACATGCATGGATTTGGGGTATAAATGGTTAGGGAGTGGAGAGGCAGAGGAACAGGAGAAGACTGGGTATACCCTTTTTCAAGTCGTAACTCCAAAGAAAGCAAGAAAACAGGAGGTGCCCTGGCTTGAGCCATAGTTCAAGGCTGCCCCCGGGTACTCCAAACACCTAATGTCCCCTTGCTTATGCTGCGAGCAAACCCCACCTTTCCATGACTCTAAAGCTTTCTCTGAAGCTCAATAAAGAATTCTGGATATTAAGTCTCCCTTAGACCTATGTATTTTCAGCAGATCATAGTCCACAATATCATCATACCTGTGGCCAGATACACAGGGTACTGGCTGGCTGGGCTCCATGCTTGGACAGCTGGCCGTTCAAGTTCCTTTAGCTTCATGGCCGGTCCTGTGTGTGGCAGAAAACTGACATGGCCCTCAGCCTACTGAAAACAGAAACCTGCAAACTTAGGAGTCAGATCCAGGGACTACCTGCAGACATGAGATCTTGTTTCTCTCTCCCCACCATGGAATGGGGATTTCAGGGCAATAGGAGGTAATATACACATAACCATCTGTAGATCTGCAAGGACAGTTCACTTACCTAATTACTGAAATCTAATGCTTTAATCCCAAAAGGATATCGAAACACAGTGGTTGCCACAGGCCCAACGGTGATGATAATCATCAGATCAGATAATATCTCAGTGACCTCATCTATTCCTTTGGCTTTACGTGTCATCCATATGCTGATGACCCCCAAATTCATACCACCAACACAAATTTCTCCTCTGAGCTCCAAGTTCTTATGTATAACTTGCTAATCAAATATTTCCATTTGGATATAGCAAAGATACCTAAGTTAGTCTGTCTAAAACAGAATTCTCTATTCCCCCAAATCTGTTCTTCCTCCAGTTTTCTTCATCTCAGTAAATGGTACCACTATCCATCCAATTGCTCAACCAGAAAACCTGAAAATCACCCTTGATTCCTCCTTCTCCCTTATTCTCTTCTAATTCATCATTAAGTCTTCCTGATTTCACCTCCAAAATTATATCTTAATCTATTTACTTTTCTCCGTCTCCACCACCACCACACTATTTGAAGATACCATCATCTCTCACCTGGATTACTGCAATAATCTTCCAACTGGTCATCTTTACCCTACCATAACCCAATTAACTCTCTACACAGCAGCAGAAGTGAACTTTTAAAATCAAAAACAGGATTTTGGCATTCCATGCTTAAAACCTTCCAATGACTTCTACTGCACTCAGAATAACATTGCTAGTGACCCTGCTCAAAGGCTCCAGCCTACCACTTCAACCTCATCTCTTGCTACTTTCCCCTCTTATTCATTGTGCTACAGCCACATTAGCCTTTTCTCGTTTCCTGGCTTTTTACTACCTCAGAGCTTTTGTAAATTCTGCTTCCTATACTTTGAACGTCCTTCCTTTCATTCTCTGCATAACTGGCTCCTTATCACACCCTTCTGGGCGCAGCTTCTCACCCCCTCAGAGAGGCGAGCCACCCAATGAAAATCAGACTCTATCTTTTTCTCCTTGGTACCTTATTTGTTGAATGAAGGTAGACATCCATTTTAATTCTGTGGTTTCCAATCCAGTTCTAACGCATATTCAAGGTGCCATCCCAACAGGCTAGCAAAGTGGCAGGAAAGTGTTTTGTTTGTTTTTAATTTAACACTGAACTTGAGGGAGGAGGCTTGGGACCTGCTGTGACCTGCTTAAGGAAGCCACCGTCAGGTTTGTCTCAACCTAGAAAATAGCAGGTAGTATTACTCAATCTCTAATGTACTTTCCAGCCTGAAGAAAGTTTAAGGCTGCCAATTCAGCCAAGATTCCCAGGGGGCCTCTAAACGCTTGAGGCAACATCAGTTACGTACGGACTTGCTGCACAACATATTATTTAGTCACCACTGCCACCTGCTGGTCAAAGCCATTTTCACGTTTCTGGGGAAAGCCCTTAACAAAAGTAGGAGCTGTGTTTAGCACTGCTCATTTAACGTGCAAATCTCAATTCTCACAATGGTTCTATGTGGCAAGTACTATTATTATCCCCATTTTACGGGGAAGAAAACTGGCTGGGCCGAGATGTGAACCCCAATCAGCCCCCATAGCCCAGTGCTTTTAACCATTATACTAGTTCAAACTAAACTCAACTCCACATGAGGTGTTAAATCCCCGACGGTCTAGAAACTGGGAAGACGGGCTTTTAATCTACATTCAACCAAGAGCCGAACAGACTCCTGCAGTGACGGAGGGCGGCAGCGACCCTCGGCAGCCCCGGCCCTTTGGGGCAGCACAGCTTCCCGCCAGACCTGGCCAGGCCCGGGCCCGGAGCGTACGGGAAGGCGCGAGGGCAGCGCTCGAGGGAGACCCTCGTCGGGCCGCAGCACCCCCGCGCGGCCGGGAGAGCTGAGCCGGGTCCAGCCCGAGGGCGGGCGTGGTGGGGCCCTGAGAGGCGCGGGCCGGGGTCTCCGCTGGGGGCGAGCTCCCCTCCCGCCGACTCTCTCCCGAGGGAGCAGAGGCACTCCCGGCCCCGCCAGAGAGGTGGGGAAGACCCACCTGCTCCGGGAGCCCAGGTCAGGGTAGCGCGGCGCAGCCAGAGCCGATCTCCTCCGAGGGCCTTTGGGCTCGACTGGGCGCTGTGGACGGCGGCTGCCGAAGGCCAAAAGTAGTCCTGGCAGGGCACCGCGCGCGCGGAGCTTGGGGTCGAGAAGCGGGCCGACCGGCGAAGGATGTAATAGGATTCTCGCTTTTTCTCCGGGCTCCCTCACCTGTCCTGTGATTGCGCATTTCTGCCATGTGGGTCAGATCCTGCGACTACTAAGTTCTGCCCTATTCAATTTGAGCCAGGCTCCGGGAACAGCCCCCGCGAAAAGGGAAAATACTAATTATTTGTTGAAGTGGAGAAGACCTGGTACTAGCTCCAGAAGCTCTCAGTGGAATCCTAATTGAAAAGGTAAATAGCAATCGAGGCCGTAAATAATGGCAACACACTACACCCCAGCAACAACTGGTGGCCAAAAGCTGTTGGCTGAACTAATTAAAAGGTATAGGCATGCAGGGGGCTAGGTACTGTAGACCAGGAACTTCCTGGAGGGTTTCAGGGACACGAGATATAGGTGTCATACCTTGCAGCGGCAAGATAGGTGGTGTCTCAGAAGGAAGGGCCCGACTGCCTAGTAGGCCCCCTGGCACTTCCCATACCATGAATTAAGGAGGCCGGATACAGATTGGGAATACCAGTTCAACTCTGCAGGTAATTGGGAGTTAATGAAAATTATGAGTAGGGATGCAATAAGATGAAGATTGTATTTTGAGACAAGTAATATGGATTCCCTTGGAGCTGGAGGCAGGGACTCAAATTAGGAGACTAATAGAATAGTCCCAGGTCCCAGGTGATGAAAGCCTGGATTAATATAGTGGCAGTGACTGTAAAGGAAAACTGGACAGGCTCTTGTGACTGATGAAGGTAAACAGTTGAAGGGGGAGGTGAAAAAATCAGATGGATTTTATTATGTTGACTGAGGGAATTATGGCATTTTCAAACAACGTTCTGTCAGCAGCTGAAGATCTTAGACCTGTGACCTGAGATTCAAAACTTTGGTTTAATGCATAAGTCCCACTGTGGTTTTGCCAGTTACACCTCCAAAAACAGTGAATTGGTTCAGTTATTTTATGACGGAGCCCCCAATCACCGTGACACAAGTCTAGATTTCCTTTTCATGTAGACTAGAGGGTTTTGAAGTCAGGACAGAAGACAATTTAGGGTATTGCTATGCCTGCCCACTCTCTGCACACTAAGTACTCACTAAGCATTTCTTGAGCATCTTAGCACCACAACAGTGGATGAGACCTGAGAGCAAGTAAACAGGGTGGAAAACTGAGCCTTAGACTACACCTCAAATTAGGGAATGAGGCAGAAATGTCACTGATGGGAGTGTTCTGAAAGAAATTTGAACCAAAAGCGTAAGGTCACAGTTTTAAGCAGGACAGAATTAAAAAAATAAAAAGTACAGGGGTGCCTGGGTACCTCAGTCAGTTAAGCCTCCCTCAGGTCATCATCTCAGAGTTGTGAGATCAAACCGTGTCCTGCTCCATGCTGAGCGTGGAACTTCCTTAAGATTCTCTCTCTCCCTCTGCCCCCCCCAAAATAAATATTTTAAAAAATTAAAAGTAGGGGTGCCTGGGTGGCTTAGTCGGTTAAGTGTCTGCCTTTGGCTCAGGTCATGACCCCAGGGTGCTAGGATCGAGTCCCACATCGGGCTCCTTGCTCGGCAGGGAGCCTATTTCTCCTCCCTCTCTCTCTCTGACAAAAAAAAAAAAATCTAAAAAAAAATTAAGGTATACTCTTCTCTCTCAGCTCACACATCTCTTAATTCTTTCACTTTGTTTTGTAACTGCCAGTCTCAGCTTCTAGGTAAGTACTTGAAGGCAATTATTTTGTCCTCCCCAGGACCTATCAGTGTCTGATATATAGATACACAGATGTTTGTTTAATATATTAAATATATTATCAAATGTGACAGAGGACAGAGAATGAAGACAGATAAAAAGCCAGTGGAGACACTGAAGTAGAGGCATTTTAGTATCCATACCCACCCCCTGATCTCATAAAAGTCCCTTTCAGTGCCTGGACAAAAACTAACTTGGATGGACTTGCTTTCATAGGTCATACTGAATGTGTGCTTTTTTTATGGGACAGGTTTTCAGGCAGCATGACTGTTTAAGAAAATGTCCCCAAAGGGACAAAAAGAAAATGAGCTGGTTCACTTAACAGATGCACTGAGATAGACCCTCAAAAACAGGAGCAAAAGCCATGCACAGGTTCAGAAAAACTCACTGGACAGTCCTCTAATTCATAAATGCAGGATTCAGAAGTTGCTTTGGAACAAGGAATACACACTCTTACAATAGAAATAACATTACGGTCACATTCCCAGGTGAGTCCAAAAACAACTATATATCCTGGAATATACTTGAAACGTGTTAAAATACAGTTTTTTAAAAAAACTAGCCACTATAAAAAGTTTTTTTTTTAATGGGAAATACTTTTTGTTCCAACTTGGGAAGTCAGGAACATATCTTTCTTCTTCTTCAACCCTGTAAATGGGAAAAGGAGCTACCCTTACCACCTGCTGCCAACTGGAACCCTCAAATACCTTCACGGTCCCAGCAAAATTAACAAATTACCATTTTCTTGTGCTTAACTCCCCCCACCTCCTGTCTTTCTAATCTCAGAGGTGCTGGGGGGTGGGAACGGACAGGAGACAAAAAAAAAAAAAAAAAAAGGAAAAGGATGAGGTTTTCATGGCAGTGGCTATTCCTGGGGAAATGATGCACAGATACCACAGCACTAAGTTTTATTAGGGACTTCATTAAGGCTAATGAAGCTGATGAAGCCACCTCAGATCTCATAATGAACCACTGGCTCAGGCTCTTTGGTGGGATCGCCGCCTCGTTCCAGGTACAGATTGTTATAAGGATACTGCTTTGGCCCCTAAGGAAAAAACACAGGTCAGCAAGATAGCATACATCCCAGCCAATACCTGGCTATACCCCACTTCGAGTTAACAATCACACGTGGTAAGTGGATACAAGGTAGCCTCTGGTCGGACCCAGCTGCGCCAGAACAGCAGGAACAGCACTCCTCTTCCCTAATCAGCCCACGGCAGAGAGAAAACCTAGATTGTAAGAGAAGTGGTGCCTACACTGTGTGTGTGTGTGCGCGTGTGTGTGAGAGTGAGTGAGCGAGAGAGAGAGAGAGAGAAAAGGAGGGAGGGAGGGAGCTTTCTAAATGAGACGACACATCCATCCATTCCACTCTCTCCTGGGGTCGAGACAGACTCAATCTCCTTTAAGTCACTCAGCCTCTAATGGTTCCACCATTAAAGTGGCCTAGCAAATGAGGCGTGCAGGAGCAGTGGTGGGGGAAAGCACAGAGGAGACACGGCTGGGACATGCTTCAGGGGCTGCTGGCTTTACCAACAAACAGCTGTCAGAGAACACAGCTCAAGGGGAGGAGAAAAGGGTGATGTGCTTACAGAACTGAAAAATGGAAGCGCCACACTGTGTTTCTTGCTCTCCTGAAGTGAAGTTAGTGCTCACACCAGCCCTACGTGCACTCTCCAGCCTGGAGCCCCTGGGGCTTGGTAGGAAGGTTCGTGTCAGTGCACACAGATGTACCAGCTACCATCAGGACATCGATTATCTCTGCAGAGGTAGCACTGAGCAGCCAACTGCAAACCTGACAGTCTTCCTGCTTTCAGTTCTTTCCTGTACAATCTACTCAGTAGACTATTCCCAGATTAAACATCCTAAAATCCTAACCTTCATTATGTCATTTCTGTTCAAAAACTCAACATAGTTCCTTGCTGCCTAGAGGTAGACCAAGTCATCACTGGATCCCCAACCCCTAGCACAATCTGTATCTGGTACATAGTAGGGTCTTCATAAATATTTGAATTAATGTCTTACTATACCGCTGAGTGCAAATCCCTAACTACACAATCAAAGCATCCCAACCTAAATGACCAACTCACCTCACAACATTTTTTAACATGGCAATTTCCACACCTAATTTCCCAGAACATGAGATACTGATTCTAGAACCCCATCATGGAGCTACTGAACCAAGGATCTGAATTTTTAGCAGCTCTCTAGGTAACCAAAAGCTGGTTATCTAGGAATATTTTATATGCCTATTCCATTTCAGCTGACTAACTCTCCTTTTCCTTCCTTCATTCTATTTTTCTTGCCCCAAATGTTCTCTCCAACTTCTGTCCCAAAGCAAAAGTCTATACATATTTTTAGTATCTAGCATGATCCTTCTTTTTAACAAGACCTCATACCCCTTAACACATAAGTTCACTACAAACATATGGACACTAAAACTGCCACATTCCTATATCTCTGTTCAAATGTTGCTCGTCGTGTCATTTTCTACATCTTCTTCTTATCCAAATCAAACTTCCTTAAAGCTAGACAGTATATTTTCCGTGTCTTTTACGCTCTCCAAGATAAAACTGTTGTGCTCGTAGTAAACAATTGCTTCCAGTACCCTATAGGACCTAGTGCCCTTCACACCTCCAGCAAAGAATAAGGTTTCAGCTCTAGATTACTTGACTCCACCTTCAAAGATCACTTGCTAAAATATAATTGGTAAGTATAGTCCCCAAATGGCAACTCTAGAAGACTAGTTGACTTACACATTCTCATTTCTCATCTAGTCCTGAACTGTTTCTTCTCACTCAGACTGACCCAAGAAGTAGGCATGGAGCAGTTCTCTGAGACTTGTGCCAGGTCAATGGGTAAGGCCTTCTACAGGCCTTAACAGGAAGCCAAGCTTGGTATTGGCTGGATCCCTACTCCAGAGACTTCATTCCCTCAGGAAACAGCACTAAGTAAATATGCCTACCAGAGCACTTCTCAGATACTCACCACAGGCTGGTAGGTGGGGTAAGTCTCCCCGACCCAAAACATGAACAGCATGAAGGCCACGAAGCCGAAGAGGTGCTTACACATGAGATTCCAGGAAACAGGCGTGGGGGATGTGTCCACACGGTTCCTGATATACATGTCAAGGTCCCAGTGCATCTGAGGCAGAAAAACAGTTAAATGCAACATTCTGCTCTTCCTGCAAAAGGCAGGCAGTCTGCAAAAGGGTGATCAGAGCCTGATAAAAGGTTCAGTAAAGGCATTCTACTGCCCTGGGGCAATATTCTGCCAGTCAAGTGTGAGCTACTCTACCACATAAGACTAGGTGCTGGCTTAGGTCTAGGTTCTGCTGACCAAGGACAGTTCAAGCATGGAAGTGCACAATTTTCAAAGTACAGACCTCTGATTATTTCTAGAAGTCTCTTCCCATGTGCCACACATGGGACCTCAGATCTCAGATCACTGGGTCTTGCTTTCTTGGGCAGAAAACCTTAATGTTGCTTAGACAGCAAAGTGCCATTTAAGCTAAATAAAGAATCCTCATGAAGATACTAGCAAGAAGGAAGAAAGGTCAAATGGGACATGGATCTCTCACCGGTTCACCCCAGTTCAACCTCAGGTCTGGGTGGTCCCAGTTATACCACGGATCCCTCTCCTGCTGTGAGCGGTCAGGGAGCTTTGGGTAGTCACCATACCTGAGAGACAGAAAAACTTCTGGAAGGGGCTTTGAGCAGCATCACTCAGGCAATTCAAAGTCCCCTCATGTTAATAGATGAGAAACCAAGTGACAGATAACGGCCTCCCCTAAGGACAGAGAAACCCACTTTCAAATTAAGATCTCAATTTACAGTCACTAAGCACAGAACTAATCACAGAAGTCCAAAATGTAAATAAAAGATGATGTCAAACTCTGAAACATTATAATATACATTATAACATACATGCTTTTCTTACCTTTTTTCAACAACAGAAGTCATGCAATGTTATAATGTTAGAGCTGGAAGGGAATTTAGCAATCAATCACTCTGATTCCCTCATTAGACAGAAAATGAAACTGAAGTTTAGTCTGAACCCCAGGTCACCCAGCTAATTGGAATACAAACAAAAAGGGTTCAGATTAAAGCATTCTCTTCATAGCAACTGTGCTCCCAACTACCAAGTTAGCATACATCTCCATGTCTCAAACGCCTCATGGGACTTCCTGCTAAGCTGGGTTTTCCCTAACAATCCAGTTTCAACTTTTACAGACTGCTACCAAGGCTACTCTTGTCCACAACAAAGTAAGAGACATAGGAAATGATGACAACTAGTTATGTGTCACAGAAAATGATTGGAAAGCAACAAGAAAAATAGGAGCTGCTAAAACCACTACTGAAAGAGTATGCTAGGAAAGAAAATGAGGGTGACCATAATCACTTCAGATACTTAACCACACGGGTGTTATGTAAAGGGGGGGATGGATAACATCACTGGGAGTAGGGAAGTTGGCTGTTTAATCTGCTTGACAGTTACTACAACTTCCACAGCCCTAACAGCAAAGATATTTTTTAAAAGAAAGATATACATACGAATATAGAGTACTCCATCTACAAGTAAGGCTCTCAAGACAGGAGTCCAGCTCCAGCCTGATCACGTGCCTGGATGACAGCACCTGAGCCCAGCAGATGCTCAATCTAAATGAAACCTCGCACTCTGGTTGAAGCCAAGGAAAGTTCCTGCTATTCAGGGGTCCTCAAGGGAGCTATTAAAATCTCGGCTTCCTCATTTGAGGAAATAGCCTGAGCCAAGGAGAAAATTGAAGTCCTCTAGGCTGCAGCTGCTCACCCATCACCTCCCACTTCCCTCCACCGAGAAAGGCACCCACACCATTGACTCTGAGGGGTCACGCGAAGGTTCAGGGAAAATGGTCAGAGTCGAGCCACCCAACCCGGCTGGCCATCTCACATCACTACTCTGCTGCATCTCACCCCATGCCATCATCCGGGTACGGTTGGTAGTCTTCTACCCGCATATTGTATTTCTTGGCGGCGGCGGCCCGTTCTTCCGGGGTTTTGGGATAGGGCCCCGGGAGTATCTCCTTCGTAATGTGCGAAGCTGGAGAGCAGAAGACGGCGGGTCAGAAAAGACCCTGTCCTTCCTGCTGCCCCGAAGGCTTCAAGCTGCGGTGGCTGCGGTGGCCCAGGCTTCAAGGGACCAGTGAGACTCCTGACCCCCTTTTCTGGGTATACTAACTCCACCTCCGCCCCCTCGTTGGACACAGCCACCGCGGTATCCGCGATACCCGTCCCCC